TATCCAATACAGTGTGTGTGTGGCGGGGGGGGGGGGGGGGGGGGGGGGACCCTTGTGCAACAAAAAAAAATGAAGTTCACTCTTTCATTTTGTTTTGTGCCATGTTGTAGCGTTAAGTCAGGGATCAAATCAAAATAATCTGATGCAGAAGTTTTATGCCCAGGGAAGTTAAGTGCAGAAGGGACTCCTCATATCAATTTTGAGAGATGAACAAAGGCTATTGGATATGGTGCAGTTAAGAAAAGCGGACCCTTGTGCAACAAAAAAAAATGAAGTTCACTCTTTCATTTTGTTTTGTGCCATGTTGTAGCGTTAAGTCAGGGATCAAATCAAAATAATCTGATGCAGAAGTTTTATGCCCAGGGAAGTTAAGTGCAGAAGGGACTCCTCATATCAATTTTGAGAGATGAACAAAGGCTATTGGATATGGTGCAGTTAAGAAAAGCCAAAACACGATTATTTCTCTTTTCTTTTTACACCAAAAACATTACAATTATAGGTCAGCCACACTCCATTTCAACTTATTTCTTCTTCTTTCCTTATTCTGATGTCTGCAGACAACAGGCTTCCCAATCACTATTTTCCCTTAAGATTCTTTGTAAGATTTAAAATTGCTTTGCCAAATAATTGAAATAAAACATGGAGAGATGTCAGCCTCTATTCTCTTTAGCCCCCCAAACCAAGTACCTTTTCTTTAATAGTGCAAACCAAGTGGAGTATGTACAGTGCCTACAAGTTTTGCTTACTAAGTTTTGGAGCAGTGGTTTTAAACTACTCTCTGTAATACTGAATGAATATTCTTTCTGTATTTAACTAGATATTTATCAAGAGAGGTATTTTTAAAACCTTTGCTGTCATCTTACTTTTCCCAATCAAAAAAGTTTCCTTCCTTGGAAAAGAAACCTAGTTAGAAACTAGTGGTTGACTTAATTTCACATGTGACTGCCTGGTTCTCCTGTTTCCAAGGAAATAGATAGAGATTGATTGAGTAAAGGCTTTAAAATGTTATCTGGGGACAAGGTTTCACTGTACCATTTCTTTTCTCATCTGAAATCCTCTCTTCTTACCCCATTTACATCAAAATAAGACTGGAATGACCACCTGTGGCAGCAGTAGCAGCAGCAGCAATATTTACTTGCTACTTGCTGAGATCCACAGATATAAGCACCATTTTTAAAAATAAAGACAGAGACTTGAAGGAATTTTTGACTAAGTCCACAATACTTCAAACTGGAGCATAAAGTATTAACGGAAACTTCTTAGACACTTTATCCCTCCATCCTGACCTGGTGTAATGGGACAGAACATTGGCTAGCTTGTTCCATTTGATGTGGCCATGCTGAATACCAGTCCAACTGAAAGTTTTGCTAGCCAATCAGTTACTCAATAGGCAGCTGCCTGCTTTTGCAATGATAAAGGGCTAGAATATATCTGCTGAAGTGGGGGGAATGTAATACAAGAAAAGGGAGGTTAACATTAGTGCCACACCTATTTGACAGTATCTCTGATATTCTAAAGTACCATAGAAAAAATGTTATTAGAGACACATCTAAACAGCTTACCTGATCATAGATAAACCCTGAAAGAGTAAAACAGAAAATTTCCTAACACATTAGACTTTCCCCTCTATTTTTTCCACTATGGTTTTGTGACTGAAGACATCAAATCCATCTTGTCCTTACAAAACATTAAAGGATCCAATTCTGTGGAACGTACTGTATCCTAGTCATAACGAACAGCCTGAAGCTTCTAATTAAATACCACAGAGCACACTGTAACACCACAGGCCAATATACAGGGGAGGTGTGAAAGGTGCAGTTCCAGCTGACCTACGGAAAGCTGGAGATCGCGCTGCCCAAGCCTCCCTCTGCCATGCTCTGGCCATCCAAAAGCTGGGGCTGTTTGGTAGCAGTATGAGGGGCATAAATGACTACAGACACAAGGAGGGGGAGGGGCCTTGATCAAATATGTTTTTAAGCCACTAATCTCATCTAACCTCCTGCATCACAGAACACCATCACCCTAAACCTAAAGCTGAAGTTAGACCAAAGTACGACGTTTGCAGGAGGCTAACCTATTATGTGGCACAGGAAAATCATAGAAGAGACTGAGTATCCCCAGTAGTGCCTGAAACACTCACAATGGCAGGGAAAGTAATGAGAAAGACTCATTGAGGGAAAGTAATGAGAAAGCCCAGTAAGTGACCTGTACCCATTCACTGCAGAGGAAAGCCTCTAAAGCCACTGCCAAACTGGTCAGGGGGAAGTTTCACTTTCACTAACATGGGGTGGGCATGTGAGCAAGAACTCAGAGTCCTGGCCCTCCTATCCCAAATCCCATTTCCAGCCATGGCTATTCCGGAGGCTTGGATGAAGATTTTTAAAAACACCATCCCACAGAATATTCCCTTCCTGACCCCTGCAAGTAGCTATCTGAAAACCTGAAGCATGAGCTTTTAGGGAGCTAGGACATAAAGTGAGACCCAGGACTGGTAAGCCTTGCTTGCTCCCATCATAAGCAACACACACATACAACTGCACTCGAAATTTGTCCATCTCTCTTGAAAGTAAATTCTTTGTCCTTACCACTCTTATTGCATGAATCTCACCCCTTTGATGGTGAGAAACTTTCTGATTTCCAGCCAAAATTTGTTCATGGCCAGTTCATATCCATTTGTTCTTGTGAACACATTGGTCTTTAGCATACATAGCTTTTCACCCTCCTTGGTATTTACCTCTCTACCTTATTTATAGAGAATAGCAATAGCCCCTCTCAAACTTCTTTTTTGATGACTAAACAAGCCAGACTTTTCCAGTACCTCTTATAAGATAAATCCTCCATTCCCCGATCATCCTAGAAACTCTTCTCTGCACCTATTTCTGTTTAAATTCACCTTTCTTTAACGTGGGTGGCTACAATGGTACACAGTATTTAATGCGTGGTCTTATCAGTGCCTTGTGTAGTAATTTTATATAGTATAGTAATTCTGTAGAATACAGTATAGTATAGAGTATAGTAATTCTGTATGGCTTTAGAAATGCCTCACCTGACACATCCTAGGATCCCATTTGTCTTTCACGCAGTCGCATCACACTGGTGGCTCATAGCCATCCTGTAATCAACCCACACTTCCAGCTTTCTCTTCTCTGCTATCACCTTCAACTGATGAGGCCCCAATTTGTAACAAATTCTTATTAGAACATAAATGTATGATTTTTCACTTGATACCATTTAATTTCATCCTACTCCCCACTCTCTTTAGACCATAAGAACGGCCATACTGGGTCAGACCAAAAGTCCATCTAGCCCAGTATCCTGTCTGAGGACAATGGCCAATGCTAGATGCTCCAGAAAGAGTGAACAGAATAGGGAATCATCAAGTGATCCATCCACTGTCACCCATTCCCAGCTTCTAACAAACAGACACAGACTCAGGGACACCATTCCTACCTCCTGGCTAATAAGTACTGATGGACCTAACCTCCATGAATTTTATCAAGTTCTTTTCTGAAACCTATTGAAGTCCTGGTCTTCACAACCTCCTCTGGCAAGGAGTTCCACAGGTTGACTGTGCACTGAATGAAGAAAAACTTCCTTTTGTTTGTTTTAAACCTGTTACCTATTAATTTCATTTGGTGACCCCTAGTTCTTATACTATGGAAACAGGTAAATTAACTTTTCCGTATTCACTTTCTCCATACCGGTCATGATTATAAAGACCTCTATCATATCCTTCTCCCCGCCCACCCTTCTTAGTCTCCACTACGGAGCATGCTTACTCGGGAGACCATGGAGGGGAGGGTGTATTCGCACCCTTGCAGTCCACATTTACAAAAAAACACAAACCCCCACAGAAAAATGAAGATGCAGGGCTTTAGAAATATGCAGAAAACTACCTGAAAAATATTCTCCATTGAACTGCAGCAGTATGACAACCCGATGGAGAGGAGAGCAGCCATATTCTACTTCCTTCTATTTTGTGACTATGTTTGTATATATAAGTATGGGTATGGCCTCATGTGAGCCATTCACTTCAATGTGAAATCCCCTCTTGTTATATGGGACATTTTACAAGACAGAAGTACCTTCATTTATAATGGAAAGTCCATACATAAAACTTAAGTATTAAGGAATAAGATCCCAAAATTGATACACTTCATGGACTGATATCAATATAAAAATTATAACTTGTTTGTCCCAGAACAGAAAAGGCTTAAGAAAACTCTGCAAGTAATTTCCACAACATAAACAAAAATATATAATTTTGGGATAGAGTTTTCTTTTAAAGCGTCTAAGAAATTCTAATTATGAGAAAAGTTACATGTACACAGCAGCAAAGACAAAAATATTCTTTATGAAGAGTAAAAAGTTTAATAGAACTCACCAAAAAACCTTCCCCATAACACCTATTAACTCAAAAAACTACATTATTTTAGTTCATATTGTGTATCACATTGAAATAAAAATTATTCCAAAACCCTATACAAATATAAAGAAGAATAAACACACTTAAACTTGGAAGGTCTTCTTTATATACATCGTCTAATTAATTTTCCCCACTGTGGTGTTGACACTTGGCCACCTGAAGAGACATCTTGGCATCAGCACAATTAGAGAATGCATGCTAGGAAGTAAAGGAAAGTCTCTTTCAGGGAAGAATTTTGCTTCATCAACGCAGTTGTTCCTTGGACATTTTGTACTGTGTACTCTCAATTTCACTCAAGAAAAAATTGTTATAATTTACAATAAGCAAATCAATCTGAGAAGGAGAAAGCAGCAATTTTCACAGTCAATATCATTTTTGGGTAATAATTTGCTGTTTTCATGAAACCAGGACTTAAGGGAAATCTGAAATAAAAGGAATCTGGTGGAATGGAAATAAAACCACAAAGTCAGTTTGAATTTCTTTCCCAAAAAGAACATTATGAAAATTATGCTCATTGTGAAAATTTGCTAATAAGAATAATTACTTGGGAAATGCATATATATCTATGACCTACCTTGTAGAAGGGCTCCATTTCTCTTGAAAAAGGTCCTTCCTGGCCAAATGGGTGGACCTGATGTGCTAAAGGTAATAAGAAATAGGTGTAAAGAAAATCTCATTTGGTAATTTACAAGTTACTATTTTAATTCTGTCTTCTCCTTTTAACGTGGTATCAACTTTGTCATGTTTTGACCTCAAAACAGGACCCAACAATATCATTATTTGATACACTGATTTAAGAGAGTCACATTCTATTGACAAGAAAACAGTCCTCAGACTAGCCTTTCAGTGTCACTCTGACCCACACGCTACATTTAGAGAAAGAAAGGCAGTGTGGGAGGTGGGGATCAATGTCTCCAAAAATATTTAATGCAGAATTCAACAAATATCCATTTTTGTAAAAAAAAGGTATCTACTACCAGTAAACAATATACTTTACAGCCAAGCATTTAGTGTGAACAACTCACTTTCTCAGTTAAAAAGTTGTATAAAAAAGGCTTAGCCAAATACTGTACTGTTTCTGTACTTTTACAGGAATATTACTTCCATGGAGAATGCCATGCATCAAGTCACATCTCACTGTGTCATCATTACTCATCACATGAATAAGAATATAACTTCATTCTATATGAACAAAGTGTAGGAACCTGGACAAGAGCCATAATTTTATAAGAAACTTATTTTATTAGTCATTATTTATTATTTGTGTTGAGGTAGTGCACAGGGCTCCATTTATGGAGCAGGACTCCTCTGTACAAGGCACTGTACAAACACAGAACAACAAAAAAAAGCCCTGAGGAGCTTACAATCTAAACATAAGACAAAAGACAGCAGTGGACTCTGACAGATGGGGAAGCATTTGGAAACAGTGACACAATACTAGACAGCAGGAAGAGTATGATATTGATGCAATAGTGGCCTAACAGTTACATGTTTGATAAACATTAAACATTAAACCAAGACAATTTTAAGGAGGTATTTGGAGATGTATAATGAATTTGCTTTGCAGATGTTGATGGGAAGCATGAGGGCCAGCAAGAGAGAAAGCACAAAAGGTTCAGGATCGAAAATTAAACAAGTTGTCATTGAAGGCTGGCAGCATTTGAACAATTGAGACAGCAGTCTCTTGACAGCCTACAAGAGATGACAGACCAGGGAAAGGTAAGCAATGAAGAGCCTTGAAAGTGAAAACAAGTGTTTGACGAGAGAGAAAGGAGAGACAGTGAAGCAGGGCTGGCAATAATTTTTGACGGGGGGGGAGGGTCACTGCAAGATTTTGAAAAGTGGTTGAGGGCCGCACTCTTCCATGATATTAATGGAGGAGACGCGGGGTCTGGGATGGAGTTTGGGTGCAGAAGGGAGCTTGGGGTAAGGGACTGGGGGTGTAGGAGGGAGAATGGAGTCTGGGAGGGAGTTTGGGTGCAGAAGGGAGCTTGGGGTAAGGGACTGGGGGTGTAGGAGGGAGAATGGAGTCTGGGAGGGAGTTTGGGTGCAGAAGGGAGCTTGGGGTAAGGGACTGGGGGTGTAGGAGGGAGAATGGAGTCTGGGAGGGAGTTTGGGTGCAGAAGGGAGCTTGGGGTAAGGGACTGGGGGTGTAGGAGGGAGAATGGAGTCTGGGAGGGAGTTTGGGTGCAGAAGGGAGCTTGGGGTAAGGGACTGGGGGTGTAGGAGGGAGAATGGAGTCTGGGAGGGAGTTTGGGTGCAGAAGGGAGCTTGGGGTAAGGGACTGGGGGTGTAGGAGGGAGAATGGAGTCTGGGAGGGAGTTTGGGTGCAGAAGGGAGCTTGGGGTAAGGGACTGGGGGTGTAGGAGGGAGAATGGAGTCTGGGAGGGAGTTTGGGTGCAGAAGGGAGCTTGGGGTAAGGGACTGTGTTGCAGGAGGGAGACTAGAGTCTGGGAGGGAGTTGGGATGAAGCAGGCGGTTGTGACCTAGGGCAGGAGACTGGAATGCAGGGGTTTGGGATGTGACCTAGGGTACAAGGAGATTGTGATCTGGGGCAGGAGATTGGGGTGCCAGATCTGAGAGGGGGTATGGGTATAAGAAGAGGGACAGAGTGTTTGGGTATGTTGAGTGGGGAGGCAGAGAGTTAGCGCTGGAAAAGGCTGGGGTGCCAGAAGCTGGCTGTGGCCAAGAGACTCTCTTGTCAGCTGCCAAAACTAGCCTGCCTGCCTGCAGAGCTTAAATGTTTCCCAGCCACCCTGCCTGGCCATGTGCTTCATGAATAACTGAGCCCAGGAGACAGTGTGTGATTCTTCTTAGCTGCATGCTATTCTAACAAGCAGTTCCTATTGGCTGGTTTCTGGCAGAAACCGGCCAATGAGGATGTGGTAGGGGCAGGGTGGCTCTTAAAACTTCCCACCTCCCCTCCAGTTTTAAAACAGAAATGGAGCCCTGCAGCCGCATTTCTGCCTGAAGCGTGGGGCTGCAGGGCAAGCTGGAGAGCCTGCCTGGGGCTCTCCGCTGCCTCCACAGGCCAGATCTGGTGGCTTGGCGGGCTGGATCCGGGCAGTATTTTCCCGGGCCTGCAGTGAAGGGATGAACAATGAGGTAGGGAAATTATCTTTGCTATAGTGTACAGAGTGCATATGAGCAGGGAAAGATTGCATTTGTTAAGTCAAGAGATGAGGAGGTTGTTGTAGTTGAGATGATGAGGTGTTGGAGACAGACAAAGCATACGACAAGCTGCTACAGCGGGTCTCACTATTATTTAGATTTAGTACATTCTGGTTCCTACAGTATATTTCACACAGATTTGTGTTTTGCTGGAGGATTTAAAAAGAAATTGTGTGAAGTGCAGTCTCAGAACTTGTGGCACATCTATAGCTACCTTACAACATTTGAGGGTTTTTTCTCTGCTAAACTTCAGTTTGTTAAAGCCTTAAACAGGTCAAGAGCCTCAAACAGGTCCTAATGCATTGTGATCTCAAAACAATCTGTGAAACTATATTCCTCAAAGAGTTCAAGTTAAAAACAGAAGTGCAGGCAGATCGACTGACTTTCATCTTTCTGAGATAGAAAAACCTAGAATTATGCAGCTTTGTGTATGGAGGAATTAAAAAAAAGATCCTGTGTGAACATTAAAAATCCTCCCCATAGACGTGCAATGTGATTTTCTGCAGGTTGGTGCCCCCCAAAAGGCACCTGTATACAGTGATGCGTAATTAGTTGTAGGTACATGGGAAACCATCAGAATGAAAGGTACAACAAACAATATAAGTTTTTATTATAAATTAGAAATCTCAGGTATGTTGATAGCGCTTAGCCACGGGGAACATTTTAAAGCACAAACTCTACAGGGAAAATATCTTTAAAACAAAAAGATCTATTGTAACATTCTAGAGAGAAGAGTGTTTGAGGATCTTCATTATAAAATCATGACATGGGCTGCAAAAAAGTGGTCTGAAACTTTAAAAAACACCCAGAACTATATATTTACAACACTGTAAGCCTCATCTTGAAAACAAGCACCACTGAAGCATAAGTTAGTAGGATACAAAGAACTCTCCTACATGCAAATCCAACCACAGATTAAAAAAAAAAAAAGGGGGGGGGGGAAAGACTATTTTGGAGAAAGATT